AATCCAACCGCATCGTCCTCCGGAATCCCAAAATTCAAACCCCTCGCAAAAATCATCACAAGCAAGTTCGAGGATTGAAATTGTGCAGTGAGAAACTAAAAACAAATAAAGAAGAGGAAAAAAAAAATGGCGACCAGCAGCATAGCATCCGCCGCGTGCGGATTTGCGGTGTCGCCGACCGTCGCGTCCGGCTCGACCACCGCCCAAAGCGGCGTGGCGTTCTTCCCCTCCTCCAGGAGATACAGGAATCCGAGAATGGTGGTTCGGGCTGCGGACGAGGCGGCAGCTCCGGCATCCGACACCCCGGCCGCCGAAGCTCCCAAGGCTGCCAAGCCGCCGCCGGTCGGGCCCCCGAGGGGCTCGAAGGTGAGTACTGTGTATCATTAATGGCAAATCGCAATCTTAGACTTACTATTTTCCCCTTTTTAGATAAAAAAAAAAAAGCAGAATGAATTACAGAATATAATTACTTGTCATTAATAACATCAAACAAAATTAATTAATTTCAGGTGAGGATTTTGAGGAAGGAGTCATACTGGTACAAGGGTGTAGGCTCAGTTGTTGCTGTTGACCAGGTGAGATGAACATATATTTTCATCTAAACGTAATTTCATATTCGTGCTCGACTCGAGCTCGAGCCTGTAGTTTTTACGCTCGAGTGCTCGACTAGCCGCTTGAATACAAACGAATCAAGCAACTCACGGCACTTGACTCGAGGTCGAGCCTGTAATTTGTAAACTCGAACGCCTGACAGGCTGTTTGAATATACATAAAATTACCTGAATAACCCCAACTAGTTGAAATTTCGAGTCAATCTTGAGCATAATTTGAAATGATAAAATTCAAGGATGTGTTTTGTTGGTCGAGTGAAACCGAGCCAATAAGACCAATCTACACATGTAGTATTGTGATCAAGTTTATTTATATATAATTATTACAATAAGCTTAATTTATTTGTGATACTTTTTTTTATTAACTCACACGTGTAGTATTGTGATTGGTGGTGCAGGACCCGGAAACCCGGTACCCTGTTGTGGTGAGGTTCAACAAAGTGAACTATGCAAACGTATCCACGAACAACTATGCATTGGATGAGGTGGAAATGGTTATTGTGTGAGCCATATTTGTGTTCATTCTCTCGAATCAAATCTGTGTTTATTTGTCCATCTCTGTTGATCCATTTTAGTTTAATACACTTTGTGATGAGTTTGTCAAAGTTCTGTATCATACATTTTGCAATGAATAAACCATGCTTCTATGTATATATGTATGTATTCTTCTCTCTATCAGATGCTGTGTGTATGTGCACCAAAAAAAAAAAAAGAACGTATATGTACCTTAGATCGTTCTATTTTGTTTTAGTATCTCGTGTAAGTAGTTCAACTTGCGAGAAAACTTTTGGGTCGTGTAAAGAGATAGATTAATCGCAACACGAGGTCGATTGTATATGTGTATATCGTTGCAAAATCAACGGTTTGATTATGAAAGCTACAATTCTTGAAGATAGTTTAGGAGATGCTTGGATATAAGATATTTTAGTTTTGTTTGAATATTTTTGGTCTTGTTTGGTTAATTTTGTTTGGTTAATTTTGAGAAAGATGATATAGTTGGTTGTTAGTGAAATTTGAATTTATATTAAACAATATTTAAAAATAAGACAATCAAAGAGGATTTGATGTAAATGTAGGAGATATATGACGTGAAATGATGGTTACTTAAAATTATGTGAGTATGAATAATTAATTATAGTTGATGTAATATATAAGAATGATTGATTGAGAATTCTAAAGACAAAAGATAGACCAGATATATAACCTTTGAGAAACTGCAAATTAAAATTCATGTGTGGTCTGAAAACATAAGATGTCTGAGTGTTAATTATGTTTCACATCTAACAATTTCAATCTAAATGCATCAAAAACATAATAGAGAAAAATGAAGCACATATTCAAAGCCTCAATATGAAGAGCCTGCATTGTCTATATGTAGTCTAGCAGCATATATGCATACAATAATCAATCTGCTTCATAAATACGTGCGAGACCGGAATTATGTCCTACAACATATACATCGTTTTGGCATGACAAATCGACTTGTCGATTTGCTCCCAAAGAACAAAGTACGCGCATATTAACAACACGAGAAAATAGCAAATTTCCAACAGCAAGGTGTCGTGGTGTAGTTGGCTGAAGGTCTCCGGTTCGAGTCCGGGCGACGCCAATTTTCTACTAATTTTTTCGTTTTATTTTTCAATTTCACCCAGCTAATATTTCTTCTTTGGCACTTCAAAGTTTATACCCTCTTTCAGTGTCCTGTGTGCCTTTTGAACTGTAAATTGAAGATTTTATATCCCCTTTATACTTTACAGAGAGGATTTAAATGTATTATTATTATTATAGTTTCACTTTCATTATTATTACTTTACAGAGCAGAGTAGAGTTTACTGCAAATAATTTTCCATCATGCCTAAAAATATGAATATATATGAATCTCATCCATTAAAATTGTATTAAAGAACAAATATATTATGAATTTAAGTGCTGACCCAATTTGTTATAAACTGCTGGACAATTTTTATTTTTATCATTATTATTATTATTTTTATTATTATTATTATTATTATTATTATTATTATTATTATTATTATTATTATTATTATTATATAATTTTTGTATGGTTTTATATTGGATTTCATTTTACAAGAGGTCACTTTCTTGCAAGTCATTTTCACTTTAGATTTTAGAATCTAAAATTTTATAGTCATTGAGCAATCATTGTCGTCGTTGTTATTGCTATATTTATTCTTATATACTTCATAGGCTATATTTAAATATTACTTAGAGTTTTATGGGAACAAGTTTTACTTATCCCAGATAATAATCCCAACTAACCAAGACAAGAAATTCCAGTTTGACAGTAGTAATTAATTACAGAGAAAAATGGAGAAAGAAAGAGGACTTCTTTCCAATTTAAATTGATCAATTACAATTATACAACCTTATAAGTTAGGGAGATTCTACGGTCCCGTTGCGGAACCATTCCGTCGAAATTTGTAACCGTTAGATCAACTATCTACGATGACTGCATGATGATCTAACGGTTACAAATCCCGACAGAATGATTCCGTTGCTGTAGCATTTCCCAGTTAGGGAGATTATAATACAAGTCACTAGTTGAAAAATAGAAAGAAAAGAGAATAATGCCTCACCATTAAGTCACACAAACAAAATCCCCAAACTCTTCCTCAATTTTTTTTTTTTTTTTTTTTTTTTTCCATTTTTGTTCATTTTTTTTTTCGGAGGGGTTTTTTGGAGAGGACTAGTTGATCTCTATATGCCTATACTTTTCATTGTATTTTCTTTACACTTTTGTATACTTTTTTTCTTTTAGTGTATGATAATATGTTGCCAAAATTGGGAAGGAATAGAACTACGAAGTCTATATCTCGATCGTTCAAAACGTCGAGATACACCTCCTATGAGTCGACACTTTCTGCTTCTTATGCCTCAAATCGTCCTTCCAAACTTTGGCAATGTCGCTCGATATTTTCACAGCATCCGCCGACAAACCCGATAGCCCTCTCCTCGTGAACCCAACCGCGTACAATCCACCCTTTCCTTTCCACCCGTTCGGGAAGGGCGTTTTCGGAAACCCATTCTTAGAGAAAAACTCAGTTTCCTGTAAATTACACACGGTTATTATTAGAACCATGCACATATGTTCAATTATTTGAAACGATCATTTCTAAAAAAATAAAACAATAAAATAAAATTATAATACAACGAACTCTCACCTGAAGCCAGTAAGGCACATTGCTCTGGTATCCAGTCGCAAGAACGACGGAGTCGATTTCGAGATTTTGTCCGTCTTCCAATTCGGCCGAGCGGCTCGAGAACCTCTTGATGCCGGGGACCACTCTAATTTCCCCGGACCGGATTTTCGCAAGTGCGCCTATGTCGAGAACCGGGGTTTTGCCCTGAGTGTTTTTGAGCTGTAGCTGGCCGACCGCGGGCCTTTTGAGCCCGTATCTCTCCGTGCTCCCGAGGACCATCCAGGCCAGCATGACCATGACCCTGTCCACTAACCACAACGGAAGCCACGTCATCAGGAAAACGGCCAGCTCGAAAGTCGACTTTCCGAAAATCTCCCTCGGCAGGACGTGAACCTAGTATAGAAAATTACACAAAACGAACCTTTAGAACCCGGAAATTGCAATGAAGTCCCCAAAATTGAATTCGGCCCCAATAAAATAAAATAAACTCACCGAGCTCCGAACAACCATAACCGGCCTGGCGCCGTGATTGCAGAGATCGAGAGAGACTTCCATGCCTGAATTCCCACATCCAACGACGAGCACCTTCTTCCCCGGGAACCCCTCCCCGGATTTATAATCACACGCGTGGATCACCTCGCCGGAAAATTCCTCCAAACCGTCGATCTCCGGCACCACACGCTCGGCATTCTCGCCGGTGGCCACCACCAGCCACTGGCAGAGGTACTCAGCTCCGTCGGTTCGCACCCTCCAGAGGCGGCAGCCGGAGTCGTACTTTGCCGACCGGACACACTCATTGAACCGAAGCTCGATTTCGAATTTGGCGGCGTACGATTCGAGGTACTCGACAAATTGACGCTTGGAGGGGTACTCCGGGTAATGGTCCGGGAACGGGAAGTCCGGCAGCTGGCAGAACTTTTTGGGGAGGTGGAGTTTGAGGCGATCGTAGGTTCGATTTTGCCAGAGGGAGGCGATACAGTCGGCTCGTTCGAGGACGACAAACGGGACGCCATGCTGGCGGAGGCCCGCGGCCACGGCAAGCCCGGAAGGCCCGGCGCCGACGATGACGGGGCCGTTCACCCAGACGCATCTGGGTGACGTGTCAGTATCCGTGGTGGCAAACATTGTGTGTTGATGAGTTGGAGTTTGTTTTGCTCTGTTTTTTTGATGTTTGGAATGTGTGTTTGAAAAGAAGGGGAGAGAATAAAGGGTTTTAAATAGAGAGGAGGATTATTTATTTATTTATTTATTTTATTTGAAACTGGCTCGTGAAAGGGTGCATGTGATGATGTGAAAGGAAAGTTGGATTAATGAGGTGCCATTTTTCAAATCATAGGCCAAAGTCTAACAACTTGTATTATTTTAGAATTTGTAGATGCAGAAATATCCTTGTTGAAAGACTCACTCACCACAATCAGGTGTGCGATTCGGGTCGATCAACAAATTAGTCGGGGCATAATTTAATCTTACTTTTCTTCTTATTCTTTAGATGAGTTTGGTTTGGTGTTAAATTAATTGTGACATGAATTTTGGCCTTGTTTGGCAATTAGCTGTTAGCGGTTAGCTGTTAGCTGATTATATCAGCTGTTTTGACCAGCGGATTGTATTGGCTGTTTTGACTGGCGGATTACATTAGCGGATTGTGCTGAAGTGTTTGGTAAAATTAGCTGATTGATGTTATTAAGTAAAATAAAATAACTAATGTAAGTAAATGTATAATTACTCAAATAATAAAAATAATAAGAATAATATATTTATATATAAAGAATTAAATTTATTTTAAAATAATGACATACATAACTTATTTTGTTATATTGAAAAATAAGAAATTTCACATAAGAATAAGAATTTCAAAAATAATTATTCCATCATTACATATTAAAGGAAACTAATTCTTAAATAAATTAATAAAATGAAATAAAAAAAAGTAATTGCATTGTGGACTGTGTCACTGATAATCATAATTGCAGTATACATAATGCCCCCAAAATGTCCACTTTTCACATAATTAAATAAAAAATTTGAAACTAACGATCAAAAAAAAAAAAAACTTGAAACTGCTAAGCTTAAACGCTGCTCCAAGCAGCGTTTCCAATATCAGCTTTTGGGCCCAAACCGCTGTTGTCATCCGCTATTTTACCAAACAATAATTTTGAGGTGGTCAAACTTCCAAATTAGCTAACAGTATCAAAAACGCCAAAACTTGGCGTAAACGCTAACAACCAAACGTACCCTTTGAGTAGTTTGGAGTGGAGTTAATTAGCTTATGTTTCATAGCTTATTATAGGTTACCCCCTTTTGAGTTTGGTGGATTTAGAACTATAGTATGATTGTTGTTAGAGAATTTAAGTTAGTAGATAATTACATTTGTTGATATATATAAATACATTTATACTTAATAATATATTTCGATGAAAAATATAAATATATATATTTTTTAAAATAATAACAACTTGAATGCTATTGAAAGTCCAAACCATTACATTAGGAAACAAGGCTACAAATGCATACTTTTTTATACAAGTTCACCTTCAATGTACAAAGAAATCAATATTCAAAGTAATCAAGACAAAAGGGTAAAGTAATCATGGGAGATTAAGAAGCAATACTATGGTTGATGTATTATAATCTAGGCTTATTATTTTACCTTTTAATTCACAAGAATAACCAAAAGAATTTGTACACATCACATGCAGTTTGGGAAAGTAGATTTATTTTCATGAAACTACTTTGATTGAATTTTTATTTTGATACTTTCGAAATAAATCAATGTTAGAATGTGATGTGAACCCAAAAGTCAAAATTACCAAAACATAGTCAACACTAAAGTTGGATGTAGGTGAGTTTATCTGAAACGTATAATTACTTGCGAGTGCGCTAAGTGTAGTACGAACGTGAGTAAACAATGTAAAAAGCGGAAGCAATAAACCGAAGATTTTAAAACTCTTCAGGGAAGCGTCCCACTTCCCCTCAGAGCTCTTTCATTGATAGATCAACCATACACATAGCTTGGACTTACAATGACTCGAACTCCCTTCAAGCCTAGCCAACACTACTCAGATCCTATCAACTAATTCTCCGGCCACGTCCCGTGGACTTTTAAAACCTACACTTATTCCCTAAGTGTATAAGCTGTAAAATGGTTTTTGGATGAAACACAAAGAACAAAATAAAACAGCTTCAGTCCTTGAGCTAGTTCGAACTCTCAGACTGAACTGTGTACAACTCAACAAAAACAGAATACACGAAGCTCTATTATTGCTCTATATATCTTTGAAACTCATCATCCGCAATGAGAGCTTGCATATGGGTATTTAAAAGAATCTCCTTAGGGTTGGAGTCTTCTACAAGGCATAGGACTCCAACCTTGATTTCCTTCCTTGTTTATAGCAAAAGAATATGGTAAGTGAATCTTCTTCTCTCTCTCCTTGATCTCTTTATCATACACGCCTCTTCCTTCATTATCTCATCCGATTTCCTATAAATCAAAGCACCATAATAAGATCCAGAATATCTTATTTATGGAATAAAATAATCGTAATTAAGGCAACAAATAAACAAAGATCTTCCCTGTTTCTGTAGTTCCAGGTGCTTGTT